AAATTTGAGCTGCTGCCCTGCACAATTGACAACTGGTAGACAGTTTTCAAGACGGCACTTTCTTCATAGTAAACAGATGTACCCATAAACCAATTTTGACAGGAAACAGAAGCATGGTTTAGAAGCTAATTTTTTTTAAATCACTTTTGACCAAAAAAGCACATTTTTGTGCATATTTCAAACTACAGTGTCCATACAAAAAAATACTAACAAAATTTTAAAATTCATACAATAAGCTTTCCGAAAATATATAGTTTTGTGGACAAGAGGGGTCACCTTGGTTTCCTAATTAACTAATTAAAATACCTGTCAGGTAATCTGCATCTCTACCTTAAGTATGCAAGGGTGTGATATGTGATGAAGATCACACGCGAATGGAAAACTTACTGCGAATTGGATTGTGATCACAAAATCATAAAAGAAACCTTATTTCTACAACACCTAAATACAAATTAGTAAATCTGTGCAAAAATTGTTTGTATTCATCACAGATAATTTTTAGGTGTGTTTTTTGAATTATTGGATGTGGTGATCAACTCGCTCATTTCTTTTTACGTAATCAAACATTTCCAAGTGATCACATTGTTTTGTGACGTTGTTGGTTAGAACTGGTTTAATTCATGCACATAGAGCAGAATCTCTTTAAATCCCTCACAAAATGCAAGAGTTCACGCCTCTTGAGATCGTCATTACATGGTTATGAAAGTTCACCCTTATATTATAAATATTTGATATTGTCTAGCCACCCTATCAAAAACACATACTATTCACTCTATATTAAATGTACACTTGCTGATTTAAATGACAGAGACTAGTCTATGGTCAAAATAATCATATTTCAATGATCTATCATACAATAAATGCAATTTTTTTTTATGCACTTCTATTAGAGATGTATTTCTAATTGAGCAAATGTAAAAGATTTCCATAGTTTGGCATTGTGCTATTGACAATGCATCAAAAGAGAAATGAGTACATTTATTTTTTATTGAATATATGGTAGATAATTAAACTATGGTTTTCACTGTTCTCATTACATGTACAAGTAATACAGCTACTATATCTTCAATATCTTTGGTTATTTCACGGTACAACTATGGAAAGCTATATCTAGTCCTCTCCCACCTCCTTTACCGGTAGTTTGGTGTCAATTGAATGGGAAAGATGACATTTTTAATATCCTTTAGATGTGATTTATTATAAAACTACACAGTATCACTCCCATTGTGTCAAACCTGTAAGCACAGTACTCTGAATAGGCGGTCACATTATGATCAGGGGCTACTCATAAGGGGGGATAGTATAAAGGCCACAATTAATTGAGTTAATTACCTGTCATTTGATACATTGTCAGGCGGTCTATGCCCAAATAATTTTAATTAGGGAAAATATGGTTTTGAACTGATTACTGATATATATTATTTTTATAGTTTTTCTACACCAATTGCATTACATCACAAGCTAATAACAATTCATGTGTAGTTACAATGACATTTTTTCTTTCTCTTTTTTTTATATTCAGTATATTGATTTTATTTTAATATTTAATGACTTACATCTTTGGTCTGTGGTGCTGAGTGTTGTGCTGGTCAATTACACTTTCATGGATGGCAAGTGTGATTATTTCCAAGGTAAGCATAATCAAACTTTATTCTGGGAATTACTGTTCTTGCCCTTGGGTCCTTGTATATAGGGTTGAACATCTTATTTTCATTGCAAACATTTCAGTCTGAGCATAACTTGAGACCAGGAATTTGTACTTGAAATGAAAATCCAAATTTCATACTCCTGATCACGCTTACATAATAACATGTAGTACTGTAAAATACTTTATTTTCGCTTGGAATTAATTTTTGCTATTTTCGCTGAAGGAGTGATTCAGTGAAAATAAAATCCAGCATATAAACCTTTTTTCCCTATATTTTACATTCAACTCATCAAAAATCAGTGAAAATAAATTCCATACAAAATACCCAAAAAGTATTTTCACCGAAAATTAATTCCAGTGAAAATAAATTATTTCACAGTAAATGCAATTTGCATGCAAAATGTATACATTTTCCCACTTACAACATGTTTACCCCTGTGTCAATCACAATTTATGTAAATAATAATTGAAATAAACAATTTATGTATTTTTTTTTTCAATTCATTGCAGGCTCCACATTGGTCATAGTATATTTGATGTTGGTTGCTATGTATTTCTTTGCTCCAAACCCACCAGGTTGTTCGTAGGGGACTGAAGTCATTGTATATACATGTAACTTATTTGCAACTGAGTAACGATGTCCTAATTATGACATAATATCCATCAAGATATCAAAGTTGCATTCCCAATTTTGCAAATTTGTCGGTTCTGTCCCCTGAATGACATACAAGTATATTCAATGTGATTATGAATGGATGAAAACAAACAAATAAGAATACAAAGGGGCTAAATCTTAATAGAGCTAGATTCCTAAACAATAGAAAAACACTGCATTAGGAAGGCTTTGTTTTTTCATTAAGGTCATTAACATTGTAGGAGTGAAGAACCTCTAGTATTTTCAAAATGAAACAAGTGGGGAAAATGAGAGCAGGATTACTGATTTTAATGTATCATATTTTTTAGCTAAAATAGCATAATTTGAATATATTTTTGGTATTAGCTTTTTCCTGGAGTGATGTTTCACATATTTGCAGAATAAGAAAACCACTTTGAATTGTTGTTACAGAAGTGGTTTGCTACATTGCTTGCCATAGGTACATATGAATTATATCAAAACGTACATCTGGATTCATCAACTTCTAGTTTTACAGGATGAGGATGATATTTTTAATAATTTTTAATTGCTCTAACCCATCAGCAGTTGATAAACTAATATTAAATTTGAACGCACTAAGGACTGTATTTATCAAATACCAGTAAATACCTTTTTGTCTTTCACTGTATCTGTATTACCGTAGTTCACCTCTATGTTTGATTGTTTCTTGTTAATTAATATTTTTAGAACAGTGTGACAATTTTAGCAACTTCAGTATGATAGTGATTCATGTGATACAAATGTATAAATTATATCATTTACTGTTATATTTAATTGTCCTTGTGTACGAGTGCAAGCTGCTAATTAATATACTTCCGCTGCTTCATTTCATGTGAGGCAAATTTTCGCAATTTTTACCGAGGAAAATCCATTTCATAGCATCCTTGGCATTGTCTGAGATTGGGAGTCGCAGTGACTGAAATCAGTCGTCTTGAAAAATTGCGAAAACATTTTTTGGTTTTACATGAAAATTACATGCATAAAAGTTTGTAAAGATTTAGTGGAAAGGGTCTGTGAAAACTAAGTGGACTAAACAGGATGGGCTTTGAAGATGTAAGTGGGTGTTTGTGTTTTTTGTATTTGGAAAATAACTTGGTTAGTGGTCGTTGTTTTGTGTTCTGTACGACATAGCTTCAATACAACATGTGCAATGTATGTAAAATACATTGTTTACATGAAATTCAAACACATGTGATGACCATCAAATGAAAAAAAGATTGGGGTCACTACACCATTTTTTGAGATACAAAAGTCCTAAATGTCATGGAATGAAAAATCATATTTTGTGAAAACACTTATTGACATACAATTTTACATACATACAGTTTTCAAGGTGATGATAACTTTCCATCTTATACAATGGGAAGTTCTCTCCTATAATAAATATATATGCAGTAACTGCCTCAACACCTCATATAGCTTAGCTGATTATCATAGAATAAATTATGTACATTTACAACTACATCTTTTTCTAATTGTTTGTTTTTCTGAATTGTTTTCTCAAAACATTTTATTGTATGCCGATTTACACTTTAATAAATAAAATGTATATAGAGTATGGAAATAAAGATGCAAGTTGTATTTTCAAGTTGTTCTCCATAACTTTTACAAGAAATACGCAGAATTGTCGTTTGCACAGTATGGGTAACAGCCTAATTAACAAATAAAGATATTCATGCTATGCAAATTAATCTGATGGTGGAAATATTCAATGTTTCTTGAAAACCTGGTAAATATGTTCATTGGCTGGACCTCAATGAGATTTGATCTTTTTGTGACAATATCTTCAATTCTCCATTTTAGCTTCGCTGTCATCAAAGATGACAGAGCAGAGCTGTTTATACAGGTGATTGTATATCGTCCATTGACAATTCTATTTTCAACTTTTCGAAAACTACCAGCTCAATTTCTTTCATACTTAATATGTAGGATGGATCTCTGTCAAGATTTGTTCATTCCATGATATCTTCAATTTTTGATGAATATTTTTGGTAAAAAGTGGGTGGACCTCGATCCATCTGGTTTGTTCACTTTGTGTCGATATCATCAATTCTTTATGTTGAGCAAATATTTTTGGTACAAAATTATATTTTTGATACAAAGTGGAGCCAATTTATTTGCGCGATTCCTTTATTTATTCTGCCCATGCCATTCATAATGCATTTCTAGCCAAACAATGGTGGTCAGCCATCTTGAATCAGATTCTAAAACAGATGCATGTGCGAATGTGTAACATGCCGTGTGTGTAAAGTTTCAACATGATTAGTTCAGCCATGTTAGTGCTCCAAAAACAAAAAAATATTCAATTTTGGTGCTAATCTCGCCTCATTGAAGAGCACACTTTCAACATCGTCAAAACACAAACTAAATATTTCGAACAGTCAGTCAATGAAGGTTATTTTCTGTATAAATTTAGGCAAACATTTTCAAGGTTTCAAGTATTATCAGAAATCTTTAATTTGCTAAGCTCACTTACAATATAGCTATTGCACAAACAAAAGAGTTCACATAAACTAAACAAAAACTGACATACTAGTATACTGTCAATGAGGGCGTCACTAACGTGATAATGTTCATGGAGATAGGGTGTTTATTTCCGGGTAGGTTGTGCCGCTTTGAAGATATTTTGATATGCCGTGCTGGACCTGTATACTTAAACCCGTTTGATACTTTATATTATATATATGTACCTTGGGGGACCTTCATGAGGTCTGTACATTTAGTGAAGTCATTTTGGTTTCTCTAATTCATGTTTGTCATTTTTGACTTTCGACTTCTTGAAAAGTTAAATCTATTGCTTTTATACTTGGTGCACAATATATATATATATATATAACGACCTTTATTGATATCGTATCTCCTCTGGGATCTAGATTAGAATACAATAAGGATATAAGGAACAATAAAATACATAAGGAATAATAATAAAAAAAAATAGTAATACTGTGAAAATATTATATAAATATTTTTTTGGTGTTATTTTGAGGCAGCTGATAAATTGCTTTTCATGAAGTTCTCTCTTTTAGTGAAATAGTCGCTGATAAACTTGGCAATTGCTTGGACAGTTTCAGAATTTTTGTTATTGAGAAATGCTTTCAGATTACCGGATAAGTTTAAGTTTTCAAACAAAGCATCTCTTTCAGATTTGTACAGGTTACAATTGAAGAGGAAGTGTTCTTCGTCTTCAATTTTATTGGAGTCACAGACAGGGCATGTTCTATTTGAGATATCTATGTTGTGATATCGCCCAAATTCAATCTGAAGTATGTGGGCACTTATCCTCAGTTTAGTCATAGATGATCTGTGGATGGGGTTTTTAATATACATTAAGTGGACCTCTGAATTTGATCATTTTGTGATATCTTCAATTCTTTATTTTTAGGTCTGCTGTCATCAAAAATCACAGGTGGAGAAGTTTGTATAAGAGATTGATTAACTCATAGACCCTCTATTTTTTTGGAAAAACAAAAGCTTTTAATGATTGAAATGTGTTCATAAATAAAACAAGTTATTTTCAATTAAGTCCTCGTCCAATTATTAATGAATGTCTACATTAGT